AGACTCTGAGGCTGGGTTGGTGGGGACCCCGTGGTGCACCTGGGGCAGCGCTGGGTCTGAGCCAGGCCGTGGCCTCCCTGGGGCACCAGCCCTGCTCCCTCATACGCTGCCTCCTTGTGTCCCAAGAGGCGGTTCCCATGCCGTAAAGGCTCCATCTTGGAGCCTCTAAGTGAGGGGTTCTCAGCAGATTCACAAGGTCACACAACCACCGCTAACCAGTCCCTGTCCATGCTCTGTCTGCCTGGGTCTGCTGTCTGGACACGTCATGTGGATGGAACCAGGTGCCACGTGGCCTTCCACGTGGACCAGCATCATGGTTTCGAGGCTCAGGAGGGCACGGCACCGCGTTCCGGGGCTGAGCGTCCTGCTCTCCCTTCCCGAGAGCGCGGGGTCGCTGCACGCCCTTCCGTCTGTGGAATGCACTCCGATGTAGTTCCGTGCTCTTTCTTCATTTGAAAATTAAAAATACGGTTTGTACAAATAGAGAAGACGGCCAGGCCAGCTTACATTTTTGAGGGCAACTCAAAACAACAACGCGCGTTTTCTCTGAAGCCTCGGGCTTCTTTTCAAATCTGAAATGGCAGTGAGTTAACGCGCCTGACGCTATCGATCCTGCTCGGCAGAACGCGCCATTTCTGGCCTGTGAGGAAGGGGCTGGAGGGAGGGGGCTGACAGCGCAGGCAGGGGGGTGCCCGGGAGCACGGAGAGCTTGCGCCCGCGTGGAGCCGCGGGGGCCGTGGAACGGGGTGGCGGGCCCCTCTCCCAGCCACTGCAGCTCGCAGGAGGGACACCGGAGCTGTCTGGGGACACGGCCTTCGGTGACGCTGGGCGGGGCATGCTCACAGGGCACGCTCACGAGGCCACACGTGTTCCCGGCCAGCCCTGCAAGGGGACGCTCCGCTGCGGGGGGGGGCCGGGGGGGCGGGTTCTGAGAGAGATACACTCAGATGCACTGAAATCGCGCCCTCGGCATCTCGTTCAAATAGTGAATCAGCCTTGACTGGGAAGGAATTTGGAGGGACAGCCAGTCACATGTGCCACAGCGTGGGTGCTGTGTCGGTGCCACACGTGTGTGTGCACATGCATACCGAATGCACACGCACATGCACACATGCATGCAACGCTGTATGTGCATGCAGACCATACTCATGCACATGTGTGCACACACCACACATGCAGACCACACGTGTGCACACACACATACCCCATATACACGCAAACCATGCACGCACACACACTCACACACCCATGCACGTGTTGGCCCCAGGAAAGCTCCCCTCCATCCGCACGCCCTGTCCCGGGCCCTTGGGGCCAGACAAGGGCGTCTCCTGCCAGACCTGGCGACGAGCCCCACACGCCTGGGTCTCCCCGCCCTCCTGCTTCCACGACGTCCACCGCTGTTCCCTGTAACCCGCAATCTCGGGAGGCAGGAAAGTGGAATCCAAGCTGAAAACCGCTGGTTCTCGGGGACCACAGGCTCTGGCGTGGGACTTCTCACTTCCCACTTCTCGGGTGCCAGGCCCACCTTGGGGACACAGCAGGGCTCCTTCCCCACGGCTCAGCCCAGACGCCAGGACACGGCCTGTGATGTGTTTCCCCACCTCTGTCCCCCGCCAGGGTCCGAGACTCACGAGTAGTGGCCGCCCCACAACCACGTGCCTGTCCTCATACCGACAAATCTGTCCCTTCTCTTCGTCACGGCACAGACCCCTCTCGGGTCACGGTAAAGGACACGTCTTTGTTCTGCTTTGCAGCTTAATGTCTGGGCTGTGATACGGCCCTGGGCCGTCCTCTAGGGCTGATGGAACAAAATACGAAGGGCTGGGGCTTAATCCACAGAACCCTGCGGTTCCGGAGCCTGGAAGTCTGAGATGAAGCTGTCAGCAGCTCTGGTTTCTCCTGACCTGTCTCCGTGGCTTGCAGACACCCGGGTCTTTGCTGTCCCTTCCTGTTCTTATGAGGACAGCAGTACTACTGGACCTATTGGATGGGGGTCGCCCTTGGGACCCCAGGTAACCTTAATTACCTCTTCAAAGATACCTCCTGTCTTGAAATAGTCACGCTGAGGATTAGGGCTTCGACATACGGATTTGGGGTGGGGAGCACCCTTGGGTGCACAGCACACACATGGATCCTGACCTCAAGAAATCCCACGTCTAAACTGGAGAGCTAAAATGAGCATCCAGTGCATTAAGGGAGAGTGTGGATGGCAAAAATCAGTATCTAAACATGCCCTTAAATGCTTGCTAAGTGTTTATAGGAACACTCACCACGTACCGGAGATAAGAGTGCCCAAAAGCGAGCTTCTCACCACAGGGTGTCCCTGCTGTCGAAGCAGGTGGCCTTCATCCTCCCTGCGTATCGGTCAGGAGGCAGTAAGGCATGCAGCAGTAACAAACAGCCCCCGTTCTCATGTGCCTTCTTACTTCTTGCTGGTCCGCAGAGGGGCCCCTCCTCACCGTCGTTCGGAGCCTCGGGCTGGCGAAGCAGTTCCCATGTTGAATCATTCTGGTTACTCTGCTTCCGGAAAAGAGAGTCCGTCCCTCCACGAACGTGGTGACCGCTCTAGTCCGGGAGGACACACGCCGTGTCGGCTCTGGTCAGATTCATCACAGGACTCCCACCGACCACACAGTTTCCGTGCAGGAAACACAATGTCGTGGCGTGTCCCAAGGTGGCCAGAAGCCAGAAGACGAGGGGTCTGTAGCTTTGTCCACACGAGTCAGCCTTGTGCAACGCAGCAGCGCAGAACGGACCCGGAGGGACCCCGGAAGACACTTGGTGCGTGACCTACATCCCGACACCTCTCCAGCTGGGCCCCCGGTCTCTGCCGCCTCCCTGGCCACGATTCAGATGGGGACGCTGGACTCAGTCCGAGTCACTGGCACCCAACGCTTCTTCCCCCGATTTGGAATCTCAGTGACTGTTAATTCTCTGCTCCTGTGGTTTGTATTTTTGGCCAGAAACACATATCCAGTGTCCACTCAGGCTGAATCTTGATGTCATTCAGTTTAGGGATAGGGTGCGCTGGGTAGAAGACCATGGCACACGCGTGTGCGTGCACACTTGCAATGACCATTAGGAAGCTAATCACAATTAATCCACGATGGAGTTTGCTGCCTTAATGAACCCATTAGCCAAAGACATTCTGAGAGAGAAAATGTAAAGTGTGAACTCTGAGCACATTACCTGTAATGAACCTGGAAATGGACTTGGGGAATTTCCACGGTATTCTTAGCATCTGTAATAGCCAGTGCGCGAGCCGCCAGATTGCATTCCCTGCTCTGGGAATCCTGCGGACCCAGGAGAAGACACGGCAGAAGCTTATTTAAGGGCTGGCCGCTGGGTATGCATCAGAGAGAGGCTGGGACTCTACTTATAACTGATGACTCTTTTAACTGTGCTCCTGTCTCATGCAAAAGGTCATTTCTATGTCAATGGCTTCCCTGGAGAAAGAAGCGAGAAAAATCTCTTTCCTTCCAACTCCCGCTTCAAAGTGGGGCAGCGATTCTGCAGAGGGACTTCAGGAGAAGTTGGCCCAGAGGTAAAAGGTGTTAATAGATGTCCCAAAGCCACAGACCCTTTTTCATCTTCATTTGGTCGTAAAGGGAAGGATCACAAACCAAACGTGCAAGCCGGTAGTGCCTGCAGACTCAGAAGAGAAGGCGCTTTCTTTATCACTTTGAAAATCACTGTGTGTGCGGGAGATGTGATGCTACTCACTTTGCATGAAGTCAGTAAGAACACGATGAACCAAGGTCCCCATAGCTGTGATGGAATGGCCTCCCCAGGGCATTGGTCTGCATAAAAGTGTGCACAAAAGACCCCAGCAGTCTGGTGTCCATCACCAAGGCTTAGTGATCGTGGCCGTCGGGGATAAAAGCGGCCTGACGCACTGGTCTCGTAGCGGACGCCCTCTGTTGCTCTGATGTGCCAGGCAGTAATCTCTTCATTCCTTCTCCTTCTGATAGTGGCCTTTCTCCTGTGGGACTCAGTCTGGGTAGACTTGTGAGTCGGGGGGAGACATCCTCCCCTGGATAAGGGATGGCCTTTGAACCTAACCAGTGCATCCCCCCCTCAGAGAATTCAGATAGATCATCTGCGGAGTGACGAGGAAGACAAATGGCCAAAGCCATTCACTCCGCTCCACTCTGGAGATCCTGCCCCTTCTTCCCGTCTGCCAGTGTCCTACAAGCGATCGGGGCCCTGCCTTTCCAAGGCCTCTTTCATCTCTTCCTTTAACCCTGGGAGTGGCCCGGGACACAACGGTTGTTACACCACTGTCTTATATTACGGTCCTGGACATCGGAAGTCAGGAGTCTTTAAGGAGCTGAATTCAAGGAGTCAGCAGGGCTGTGTTCCCCCTGAAGAACTTAGGGGAGGGTCTGTCTTTTTCCAGCACCTGGAAACCCCACACATCTCTCTCCCTCAGTCCTTGCTTCACTCCTCTTTCTCTGACCCTCATGGTCGCCTCTTCTAAGGTCATGATGCCATTGGGTCCTGGACCAGATAATCCAGGATAATCTGCCCTTCTTAAGATCCTTAACTTAATCACAACCACATAGTCCCTAGTAAGGGAACAGGCTCTTATTATCACAGTCCCTAATAAGGGAACAGGCTCACCAGTCCCGGAGATTAGGACATGGGCGGATGTCTGGGTGGGAAGCACCACACTTCTTTCCTGCTCAGACTCACCAGAGTTCATTTCCATTGCCTGCAACCAAAACCTACCTGGTACGTACCTTCTACTCGCTCTCTGCCAAAGAAGAATTAATAATTTTCAACTTTGTACTTTCCCAAGTAGGAGGTCATAAATTAACCAAATTGTTAAATGTTCTTGGGAAATTGTTCCAAAGAAAGGCTTTTTCGGCCCTAGTTCCCAAAGTCAGTGCTACGGTGTCTTGCCCAAACCAGCACAGCCTGGCAGTCACTTTGGGAACCTTCCCCTTGTGTCCAAGAGTATCAGCCCCTGACTCAGCTCCGTCTGGTTCTTCCGTTAGGACACGGAGATTCTGAACACCGCCGTACTCACAGGAAAGGCGGTAGCCCTGCCCATCAGGGTGGTGTCTGTGGAGGAAGATGGTGCCGTGACCGACGTCTCGGAGCTGGTGGAGTGTAAGTCCACAGACACGGATGTCCTCAAGGTAAGCGCCCCACTGCTCATCGGGGTGGGGACGATGGGCGCCCCTTTCCCGAAAGAGGGTCAGCCCCGGGAGGCGTGAAGTCCCGCCACACAAGCGCACCTCCAGCTGATTTACGACGTGTTTCCATTTGGGCATCACTCCACACCCGGTTTGGGGGGTGGTCTGCTTTGGAGCGCGGCTCAGACCCCAGATACTTCCGGTAGCCAAGCCGGTGACACAGTGGGTGCGGCGGTAAGGCAGGCACGCCCTGCGCTAGACGGGTGGCCGGCGTTCCGCTCCTGCCCCTTCCGTCACCGGTAGCCGTGAGATCGGTATCGCTATCCCTTCAAGAGAAGCCGCAACATTGCATTTTATGTAAAAGTCACCTGTTTTCCGGTGTTGGCCACCAGTTACAACTTTCTGTCAATGGGCAAAACATAAAATACATCTGCAAAGCGAGTCTGGCCCGTGCGGGAGCTGTTGAAGCTGCTATTCTGTTGGGCAGACCATGAACCAGGAGTCAAATCCACCCGCTGTCCGTTGTGTCAATAAAGTTTTATTGGGACACGACCACTCGGATTGATCTCTCTGCTGTCGGCGGTGGCTTTTGCACGACCAAAGGAGTGTCATGCGGTTGTGACAGAGACCACCCGGCCCGCAGATCTAAAATATTCATTGTTTTGCCCTCTCCAAGGAAAAGTTTGCCTAGAGAAATCTCTGCTCTGGAGTTTAAGCTTCGTGAGGGAACGACCCCAATTCTTGGTCTTTCCCACGAACACTGGCTGCGGCGATGTACTCACAATGCTCGCTCCAGGAATGAGACAGCGCGAGGGCTTTTCCAAGCAAGAAATGAAGTGTTTGGTCTTTCTCCATTCAGTTTGTAATCCTGCAGACACACCCAGAAGAAAACATAAAGGTCCAAGGGAAGTGACCAGATAATGCTTTTCTCCCCCCAAATAGGCTCTGACACATAGCACATCAGAGTCTTTTCTGCGGTGTAGGGAGAAGAGAGCCTTACATACCGCTGAGTGTGGGGATGGGGTAGAAAAACCCTTCCCTGAGAACCACAGTCCCCACTCAGCCACGACTGTCCACTGCGCTAGGGGCCACGGACGGAGGGCGACACGCAAGTCGTCTAAGTCATCATAGCCTCCCAGCAGGCGGTCGTGGGGGGTTCCTGCCACGTCGGGTTATCCTCACCAGTTTCTGGCTGTTGCAGCCGGCATCTCAAGGGAGAGATGCTCTCCCCAGTTCCCCCAAAAGTGATCTATGGGCTCAGGGCAGCCCCCAAGCCACACACCCAAGAAGCCGGTGGCAGGAGGGGGAAGGGTGTGGTTCCAAACCACCCACAATGTCCATCATGAGCACCAATGCGGGCCACGCAGGTAATTTAAAATCCTCCGTCATGTTCACAAAAGGAAGAACGGGTGAAGCTAATGTTTTAAATGTCTGTGTTTAACCCATTATATTAAAGACATTATCACGTCAACATGTAATCGATGTAAAAATTATGAGCACGCTGTTTCATGTTCGCCGGTGCCCAGTTCTCCGAACCCACGGAGAGCACGTGTCCATTACATTCCCAGGGCTTCCTGGCCACCGTGACGAGTGGCTTCCCATTGGACAGCTAAGATCCGAACCCGGGGCAGGATTTTGCAATGTCGGCTCTGTGCTGCTATTTTGTGCCAGATAATTCTCTGCTAGGGGGCTGTCCTGTGCGTTAGATGGATTCCTGCCTTCCACCCCAATCCAGACATGCCCACTGCACGGTCCGAGTGGTGACAACCCAAAACGTTTCTAGACTTTGCGAAACGTCCCCCGGTGGGCAAAATTTCTTCCACTGAGAAGCGTGCTCTGTTTTTGGCTCAACAATCACCCCACGTCCTGTGGCTGAATCTCCCCCACTTTCTTGGGGGAGGCCGAGGTGGGGAGGAGCCTCTTGGCTGGAGCTAGAGCCCTTCTGCCCCAGCCGCCATCACGTGCCCGATCCCTGGTGATTGTCGGTCTGTACTACCGATCTGTGATTCCCTTAAGAGCCAGGACCCCTGGGGCCCCAGTGGGTTAAGCATCCGACTCTTGGTTTTGGCTCCTGTCATGATCTCATGGTGTCGTGGGTTCAGGCTCCACGCCGACAGTACAGAACCGGCTTGGGATTCTCGCTCTCTCCCTCTCTGTGCCTCTCCCTCTCTCGCACTGTCCCTGTCTCTCTCAAAAATGAATAAATTTAAAAATATGTTTTTAAAGAGCCAGGACCCCTGATAAGTAAGTGTGACCCTTTGAAACGATGCCTTCGGCACTGATGGCCTTTCTAGGTGGATAAGAACATGTTAGGCTACAAAACCCCAGAAACGAGTTTCACCGCAGCTGTGGGCGGAGCCCGCCGTAGCTGCTCTGAAATGGGCTTGCCGTGCAGCCCGTTGCTGGCATTTCCAGGAATATAATCAGTATCTCCAGAGAAACGAAGGTATTCGAACTGGAAGTTGCCCCCTGGAGCCTGCTTTGGAGCGGGCGCCCCCGGCTGTTGACGGCGCCGCGTGACGACCCGAGGAGCTGGAGGGGGAGGTCTGCACGGGCTTGGGCGCTCGAGCTCCGTCCCAGGGCGCGGACGCAGCAGGTGTGGCGGGGTCCGTTTGGACTGAAGGCTCTGCGGTCCACCGAGTGCACGCCGACAGCCCGGCCTGCAGTTTGCTGGCAGGAGACGGGACTCCTGGGCAGGGACTACCTGCATCAGGTACCTGAGCGCCTCCCCCACGCGGTCAAGCCACGGGCCACGCCGGGACACCTGCGTCCGTAGGCTCTGTTGTAAGAAAGGCGCGCTGGGCTTAGGGGACGCGAGTCCTTTATAAAAGGCAGCGTGTGGGCTGAGTGTTGATGTGTCCCTACATTCATATGTTGAACCTTGATTCCCCCACTGATGGTGTGAGGAGGTGGCACCTTCTGGTGATTAGGTTTAGATGAGCTCTCAGGGGGCCCTGGTGGTGGGACTAGTGTTCTCAGGAACCGAGGAGCCACCAGAGCTCGCTCGCGGGTGGCGTGAGGATGAGCCAGGAAGAACGCTGCCCGCAGAGCCCGTTGTGCTGGCTCCTCGGTGGGGGACGTCCAGCCTCCGGAGCTGTGAGGGGCGAGGGCTGCTGTGTGAGCCCCGTCTATGGGGTTCTGTCGGAGCAGAGCCGGATGGACCGAGGCGGAAAGCCCGCCCCTCCTCCCCGGAGAGAGAGAGCGTCCCTGATACATTTTCCCACAAGCGTGCCTGCCCTTTGCTCTACAAGGGGACACGACCTCTGCCACCGAGGCTGTTCGCAAGATAAACACCCGCGACAAGACCGTTGGGACAACGGCAGTCAAGCCTTCGTAGGATGCGCCGAAGTTCAAGGGTGCCGCGGGGAGTTTCTTCCGAAACGTTCGCCTTGGCTTGGCCCTTCCGGGCTGTGCGGTCTTGGACGACTCACACATTCCCTCCGCCACCCGGTCTCCTGCGGAAAATGGGGACAGTCACGGTATAAGTCAGAAGGCCCTGTGAGGGCTATTGGGTGTTAATCAAGTGAAGCACTTGACCTGGTAGCCAACACGTGGAAAGGACGGGACCCTGACCCTGGTCAGCTCGGGCAAGTCCCCTCCGTGGCCCCACGTGGTAAGTCGGGGGCTGCAGACGGAGCGCCTTCAGGTGTAATCTAGGTGGTGTGCAGAGCGTTGCTTAAAAAATCAGAATTGCAACCTATTTCAACTGTACAGTTCAGTGGTATTTTAGTAAACTTCCTGGGTTGAGTAATCATCACCATGACCCAGTTTTAGAAAATTTCCATCACCCCATTTACCGTTAATCCCATTCCCACCCGTAGCCCTGGGCAACGGATAATCTACTTTCTGTCTCTACAGATTTGCCTTTTTTTGGACATTTCATATAAACGGAACCCTACAAGATGTGGTCTCTTATTAAAACGGTTTGGTGATCATTTCTCACGTGTCTCTTGACACATCTATGTATATCCTTATGCACAGATACAATTTCTTAAAAAATGGGATCATGTCATGCACGCGTTTTTTAGCCACCGTTTTTTATTGGCAAACCTGTGCCCACACACGCATGCACACACGCACACCTGCTACCCGTGATCCTCCACGTGGGTGGAACACACGGAGGAGGGTGGTTTGTCCTGGCGGGACTTGCAGAGAAGTGCCACAGCATTCACTCCGTCGTGTCCGCCCTTCCTCGCGCCTGCGATGCCTCCCCAGCGCCCCTGACTGGTGGGCACGTGGGAGCTGAGGCACAGGGTGGGGGGCGCTCTGCGTTCAGGTTCGCAGGCCTCGGACTGTGAGCGCGGGAGGCCGTGGGGCGTCCACGAGCGCCTGTGTGGATTTCCGTTGAGGAGGCAGAAGAGCAGTGTGCCGGTGAGGGGCAGGGGTCTGCTGTGGGGGCAGCGAGGAGACCGCGTCACGGCGACCGGCGCCCCCAGCCCCCTGGAGCGGTTCCGCCCACACTTGTGCACAAGTCAGCACCTTGGGCATCCACGGAGGCCTGGGGAGAGGGACACCCCGGATGGAGTGGTCTCCAGAAAGGACACGTGTGCCCAGCGTAGCTGTGTCCCGAGCTGCACCTCGGGAGGGGAGACTGGGCGCCCCACCCTGTGCTCCTGCGGCTGCAGCCCCCCTGCGCCTCCCCCAGGGAATCCTGGGCCACAGGTGGCGAGGCAGCGCCCACGACAGGCTGGTGATGCTGAGATTTCAGGCATCGTCTACAGAAGTCCCTTTACTGGGTTTCCAGGGTGGCCTGCCCGACCTCCGGGCGCGGCCTGGCTACTGGCCCCCAGCGCAGAGCTAAGGGGGTGCGTCGGGGTGGCCAGCGCCCTGTCTCCGGTGACTGGATGCCCGTGATAACCCCCGTCCACGCAGGGCCACCCCGTTGGGGCAGAGGCCTCGGGTTCCCCTGGGCGTGGCTCCCGTGGGCCTGAAATGCCCTCTCTCCTGCACGTGCTGTTGGTTGTCCAGCTCTGAGTCTTGGGGGGCTGGGCCCTTAGCACCAA